TGGCGTGGACCATGAGATGTCCCCAGACTTCGTGGCGCCCCTTCTTATTTCATTACGTCCCTGGCCCCCCCCCCCCTGGGCCGCGCACATGCCGCCGGCCATGATTTGCACCCCCTCCTCTTGGACGTCCCCCTCTTGGCCGCCCCCGAGAAACACACAGACACAATTGATCGTCGATGCTCCAGAAAATATGGGGAAATGTGGGAAGCGGGGGGGAAGACGCAGAGCCCCCAAAACACTAAAAAAATATGGGAGTCCGGTTTTTTGTGTGTATGGATTTGTGTGTCCCAGGGCCCCCTTCACCCGGTGGGTTGCTGCCCCTGGCTGCGTCGACCTCGTGGGCATCCCCGTGTGCCGGGCTGGCGTGCGGGCGTCGTGCCCGGCGCCTGCACGCGGGCGCCTCGCGGCGGGAAGAGGCCGGATGGGCCTGGCGGTTCTCTTCTGCCGTGGAGGCTCCGCCACTCCGTTTTCACTGTTCCGTGGGTCGTTGTTCTTTTACAAAAGCGGTCTTGTGCGTAACGCCGCGGCAAGGCAAGTGTTATGGTAAGGCCGCCACACAAGGAATCTTGATGTAAGGCCGCCGCAAGGGGAATCCTTTGTAAGGCCGCCGCAAACGGGACCTTTCGTAGGGCCGCCACAAAAGACCCTTTCGTGAACAAAAAGGCATCCCTTTTTGTAAGGCCGCCATAGAAGAAAACGAAACAGCCAGGGGCAGGCACGCGAAAGTGCGGAAAAAAAGGCAGAACATGTAAAACAAATAAAGAAAACCAAGGACATCCCAAGAAATCCGTGCGGAAAAGCTGCGAAACCTGAGGAAAACACATATTCTTGCCATCTGATCGCCGCTAAACGAAACTTGTGAAACAAAAACACAGTTTTAGCATCTCGACGTCTCGGAAGCTTTTGTTCTCATAGGTTTCGTGGCGGTCAGATAGCACAAACATTGGTTTTCCTTAGGTGTCGCAGCTTTGTCGTATGGTTTTGTTAGAATATCAATCGTTGTTTTAGTGTTTATTTTGCGTTTTCTGCCTTTTTCGTATTTTCGTCTGTTCGCGCCCTGGCGCTGTGCCAGCCCTCGCGTCGCCAGGGGCGGGCACGCGAAAATGCGAAAAAGGTAGAAAAAGCAAGCAAACAAAAACAGACAACCGAGGACATCCCAAGAAATCCAGCGAAAAAGCTGCGAAACCCAAGGACAACCAATGTTTTTGCAATCTGACCGCAACGAAACGAAACCTTTGAAAACACACGGTTTTAGCATGTCGACGTTTTGAAACCTTGTGGTTTCACAGGTTTCGTGTCGATCAGGTAGCAGAAACATAGGTATCCCTTAGGTGCTGCAGCTTTTTCGGATGGATCTCTTAGGATGTCCTTGTTTTTTTATTTTTTTTGCGTTTTGTTCTGCTTTGTTTTGCACTTGCGCCTCTTCGCGCCCTGGCGGTGCGCCGGCCCTCGCGCCGCGAAGGCCGCCGGAGAGGAAGTCCTTGTGCACGGGGGCCGCAGCAGGAGCCCTCTTGTAACGCCGCCGCATAAGAAATCCTTGTTCTGAGGCGCCACAACGGGAGTTCTTCTGTCAGCCGCCACAAGAGGAATCCGTGCGTTGTAGGACCGCCACGAGAGGAATCTTTTTTGTAAGGCGGCCACAAGAGAAATCCTGTTGTAGGGCAGCCACGGAAGGAACCGGTTGGCGAGGTCGCCGCACAAGGAATTCTTTTGTGAGGCCGCCACCAACAAAAATCCGCTTGTAGGTCCGCCAAAAAAGAAACCGTTCGTGGTCGCCACACAAGGAATCCGATTGAAGGGTCGCCACGATTGAAGGGCTGCCACAAAGGGCATTATTTTGCGAGGCCGCCACAAGGGAGATCCTTCTGTAAGGCCGCCACAGTAAGGAATCCTTTCTAGGAAGGCCGCCGAAAAAAAGGAAGCGGATGGGGAGGAGGAGGAGCATGAGGAGAAGGAGGAGGAGAAGTTTGAGGGAGTGGAGGTGGGCGAGATCACAGTAGCGCCTGCGTCTCGCACAGACGCAAAACAAGCGCCAGGCTCATCCAGCCTCCCGCCCTCGTGCCCACCCCCCCTTGCGCGGTGGGTGCGCCACGTTTCTTCCAGGGTCAAGCCGGGCGAGCGCAGCGAAACGAATTCGCAGTACCAGACATGAGGGGTTCCCAGGCACTCGACGTCCCGATGCTGTGGTTGCATCGGGTTCCACTGCTTCCGGCACTCTCGGACGGACTTCGCGCCGCTGGTGTTTTTTGTGTGTCGGCCTGCTGCGGGCCTCCGCTTGATTCAGCTTACGTATAGAGACCGGCCGCCCTGAACTCTTGATGGTGCTGGAAGATTGGCTCGCCTCTGACGATTTCTGGGTGATCCCTTGAGGGGCTGGCAGTCTCTTTCGGAGGAGATGGCCTCTTGAGTGTGTGTGGTCGCCCAGGCAGCCCTGAAGCTGCCCCGTCTGACCTCAGCAGACCCCCAGGGTGGTCCGCGGCGGCTTCAGCACCCCAGCCCTGGGGCACGGGGCGCCTCAGGGGCGCCGCCAACCGGGGACGTTGGGACCACGCCGGGCTACCCTGGAGGCCACTCGAGGTCAGCCTGAACTGCCTCCAGAAGTCAAGCAGTGGCGAAGCGTCCTGGCTCGCGTATAGCCCTACCAAACAATGTTCTAAGAACCTTGTGTGGTTTCCACGAAATGTTCGTAGAACATTCGTGGCTAGGTCTGTCTTGTTTTCACACATCGGGCTTATGTTCTAAGTGGACATTTGTGGGTTCTAAGAACATTTCGTGGTAGGACTAAAGGAATGCCGGGACGGTCGGTCCCTGCTCAAAGAAGAGGGTCCCAGAGCCCACGATGGGCCCGGCCAGGATCGGAGCAGGCGTCGTAGGTGCACAGCAGGCGCCCTCCAATCTGTGCACGGTCTCGAGCCCTGCCAGGCAGGTGCCACCTCCACGGGGGGAAGATGCTCCTCGAGGTCGAGCTCAGCCCCCAAGCTGCCCGCGCTTGGTCGGGGCCCTGGCTCCGTTCGATTTGGTCTGGCCTCCGTCCTTGGTGCCCTAGCGTTTGCCGCCGCGTGTCGGGCCTCTCGGATGCGATGCGCTCAGTGTGGGCAGGCGGTTCAGCGCCGCCGGCCGAGGTCGCCTCCGGCCAGGGCCTCGCCCCCTCCCAGCTTGCACACAGCTGCGGGAGCCAGAGCGGTCACACCTCTCCGCGCGTGTCGCGCTCCTCCAGGGAAGAGGCCTCGATGTCGGTCTCGATGGTCACCTTCAGGCCACCTGCTCCTCCTTCGGTTGAAGCAGCCGCCGATATTGTCGGGGGGGGGGAGAAGCGC